AAGCTGAGACTAGGCAAGTGAGAAGCAGTCAGTGTGGGGGAAGAAGGCAGCTCAGCATGTGCAAAGGCCCTGAAGTGGGAATGAAAGCAGCTGGCCAGACCGGGTCTTGTACAACTAACTTCATACATGAGCAGTGAAGGGTTTTAATAAGCTGGAGAGAGGCATAATCTGGATAATTGTGTGTGTGTGTGTGTGTGTGTGTGTGTGTGTGTGTGTGTGCAGCTGGAACTGGGGCTTGAACTTAAGGCCTCGTGTTATTTGGCATTTTTGCCACACCTTGAGCCACACCTCTATGTCTGGTTGTGTGGTGGTTAAGTGGAGCTGTGGCTCAAGTGGGAGAGCACTAGCCTTGAGCACAAAAGCTCAGGGACAGTGTCCAGGCCCTCAGTTCAAGCCTCTGGGCTGGCACAAAAAGAAACAAAGAGAAAGGAATACAGGGAGGGAGGGAAGAAGGAGGGAAAAGAAAGGAGGGAGAGGGGGAAGGAGGGAGGGAGAGGAAGGAATTATTCAGCGTGGTAGCAGTTCTCTGCTGGTCCTGCGTTGCAGGGGGGGGGGGGGGGGCAGGGCCTCAGAGAGATGCCTGAGCTGTGTCTTTGGACACAGGGGCCTCGTCTGGCCTCTTCTGTCCTCAGTGAGCTTGGGGGAGGGCTCGGGAAGGGGTCAGGCAGGACACAGGGGCTGACACGGGCCCCTGGCACAGGCTCTGGCACTCCACAGAGAGGCATTGTACATGGGCAGCGGGCATGGCGGGCAGGGAAGCCTGGTGGGGGCGTGTGCCTCTCAGGACGTGTGCCCAGGGTGCTGGCCACTGGCAGGGTCCTTCCCAGAGTCCATCTGGCTCCGATCATCTCCCTCAGGGGCTGAGGCAGCTGCAGACATGGCAGAGTGGTCAGCACCCTTCCCTGTGCCCACCACCACCACCACACCAGGAAGAGGAGGCTGGGGCCCGTGTGATCTTCGGGCTCTAGCTGCCCCTCCCCTGTGCCCCTGTGGGGACAGGACTCCCCAGTGGCTACCCCAGCCCTAAAGCACAGTTCTTGGCTGGCAGACTGAAGTCGCACAGGGTTTGGGTCCCTGCCAGCCCCAGCACTAACCTGGGGGTCCCTGGAGATTGACAGGTGAGTGCCCTGCACTAGCCGGGGTTCAAGCCCTCTCCCCCCATACCCCATGATCTTGACCTGATGCTGTCCTCACTGAGCATCAGATGCCTGGTAAAGCCGGGCTGCGTGTGTGGCTAACTGAGCCTGGGCCTGTGCCAAGGCAGCGGTGGGGGCTGAGGCTGGGCTCACGATCAGGTTCATTACTCTTTCACCCTACAAATACCCACGACATCCGTTCCGGGGGGACGAGGTAGAGAGGCACATGGTGGCATGGTGCCATGTAATGAGGGAATGGAAGGCGCGCCCCGTGAGGGCCTGCGTCCCCAGGCAGGCGCTCAGTGGCCTGGGAGGAGTTGCTGCCATCATCCCATTCAGCAGAGAAGCTCAGAGAGGCAAAGCCCGTGGCCCAGAGATACACAGCAAAGTGGCAGAAAGGAAATTCAAACCAGTTCTGTAAAGGGAATTAACTAATGGAGGTGAGTGGAGGGAAAGGGGGTGAGCAAGGCCATGCCTTCTTTTTCCCAAGTTAATTAAAGAGACTAAAAAGTGAGGGCCAGGGGCTGGGAATGTGACTTAGTGGTAGAGTGCTCAAGCATGTAAGAAGCCCTGGGTTCAATTCCTCAGTACCACATAAATAGAAGAAGCCGGAAGTGGTCCTGTGGCTCAAGTGGTAGAATGCTAGCCTTGAGCAGAAGAAGCTGAGGGACAGTGCCCAGGCCCTGAGTTCAAGCCCCAGCACTGGCAAAAAAAAAAAAAAAGTTAGGGCCAAGCACTGGTCCTAGCTACTTAGGAGGCTGAGATCTGAAGATCACAGTTCACAGCTGACCCAGGCAGGAAAGTCCAGAGTCTCTGATCTCCAATTAATCACCAGAAAACCAGCAGTGGAGTTGTGGCTCAAAGTGGTAGAGTGCTAGCCTTGAGTAACACACACACACACACACACACACACACACACACACACACACACACACACACACACACACACACACTCAAGGCAGCACCCAAGCCCTATGTTGGAGCCCCATGACCAAGAAAAAAGAAAACAAAAAAAAGGTTAATGTGGCCTCTCCCCAAGGCTTGTCCCACCACCAGCAGTAACCATGACAACAGCAGAGCCACACCCAGCTACTGATCCACCTTCTGCATGCAAGGTACTCAGCTCAGCCCTGTAGGAGAAAGGCCAGCAATGCACGCATTTCACAGATGGGAACGCTGAGGCTCAGGGAGCTTATATTCCAAGCCCAGAGTCACACGTGTGAGAACGGTGGAGCCAGGACTTGAACTCAGTTTGTCCTGGGCCACTCTGTGTCCTTCAAGCTGGGGAGATGGCCCCATAGGGGTTTTGCAGTCAGATTTCTGCTCCAGATACTGGCTCGACCCTTGACTGACTGTGGAGGGTGGTCCCTCTCTGGTACAGACAGAAGGACTGACCCTGAATGGGAATGAGACCACACCAATGCTCTAAATGCAAACCTGGCATGGTTTCTGCACTATCAAGATGGAGCCCGTGCAAGGCCGCCTGGGCCAGCTCCCTGCCATGATGCCCGAGTACCTCCCCCCTCTCGTGCCAGCCTGGACCCTCCTTTCTCTAAGCCTCAGGAAGCTAGCGTCTCACTGCCTCCCGGAAGGGCTCTGGATCACCAACAGCTGCAAATATTTACCTTGGAGACCTAGGCCCGGCCTCAGGCCTCAGCCCCCACCCACACGACGCCCGCCGGGCTAGGGTGCACAGGATATAAGGCTCAGGCTGCAGACCCATTGGCCAGGAGAGGACTCAAGTGGGCCCAGGGCTCCAGGGTGTCCAGGTAAAAGCAGGGGGGAGGGGTGCCTAGAACATGGGCTGGCAGGAAGGCCCAGCCAGGGCTCAGCCCCAGTCATGTCCCTTGGGTAGCTGGAACCTCTCAGTGTCAGCCCCTTCCTCACCTGGAAGAGCGGTGATGAGGATGGGGGCGGCTGGGCTTTTCTAGACTTATCCCAGGATCCTCAGCTCACTCTGTGGACACAGACTGCAGACGGCAGGGGTGCTTAACAAAGTCTGGGGCTGGGGGGCGGCAGGGGAAGGGCTCCATGTGCGCTTGCTGTGCTGAAGAAGGCTCAGGACTGGAAGGGGAAGGGCAGTCAGAGGCAGCTTAGAGGAGGTGACCTAGAAGCTGCAAAGCTGAGTAGAAGGGGCTGAGAATGTGGCTTTGTGGTAGAGTGCTTGACTAGCATGCATAGGGCCCTGGGTTCGATTCCTTGATACCACATACACAAACAAGAACAGTAATATGAGAGAGGGGGGAGGGAGAGGGAGAGAGGAGACAATGAGGAGGAAGAGGAGGAGGAAGAAGAGGAAGAGAGAAATATGTCAGTGATTAAAGCATTTTTAAATTTTAAAAAAACAAAAGCTGAGTAGAAGATGCTGGGCAAGGAGGAAGGAAAGCGTCGGATGCCAGAGGACAGGAGGTGGATGCCATGTTGCAGGTGGCCAGGCCCAGGTTTGAGGGATGGTTAGAGACCCTGAGGCACAGGCTTGTCTGGAAGACAGAATGACACGAGGCTTTTGTAGCCTTGATGACAAGAAACCAACAGGCGAGGGCTCCCGTGTCTGGGTCAGGGTCTTCCTTCCCTTCCCTGGGGCAGAAGCTCTCTGTGGGGGTAGAAGGCAGAGCGGGTATAAGCTGGATAGCTCAGGAATAGACGGGGGGGGGCCCAGAACATGGAAGGCCAGGACCCCCTCTCCTTCAATCCCCTCTCCTCCCTTCCTCTCCCTTCCCCTCTTCTTTGGTCTTCCTCCTCCTCTTCCTCCTCCTTCTTCCTCCTCTTCCTCCTCCTTCTTCCTCCTCTTCCTCTTCCTCCTCCTCCTCCTCCTCCTCCCCCTCTCCCTCCTCTTCCTCCTCCTCCTCTTCCTCCTCCTCCTCCTCCTTCCTTATCATAGTCTTCTCTCTCCCTCTCCCTCCCCCTCTCTCATTCTCTGTGCCCTGGTTCCAAAGCCACTGTTCCCTCCCCAGACCCCTGACTATTGCCGATCAGGTGAACAATCCACACTGTTGATTCTCACTGAAATTCTACCTCCCCTAATTCCAACCTTCCTGCCCAAGGCCCAGGGCAGCATGCCTCCAAGTGAGCTTCCAGGGCTGGCTGCAGGAGAGGAGTAGCTTTAGAGGATGTGAAAATGTGGGTGGGGTTCTGAAGGCCAGATAGGAGCTCCATAGCACTGCAGGAAGGAGGAAGCAGGGAGGGCCCAGGCAAAGGCCTGGACTTGGGAGAAAACAGAATTGTTCAGGCAGCTGAGACTGGCTAGAACAGAAAGGGACAAAGAGGGAGAAAGGGTCTGAGGCTGGAAAGGAGATGCTTTTGTTTTGTTTGTTTGATGTAGCTACTAGGGCATGAACTCAGGCCCTGGGCACTGTCCCATAGCTTTATCACTCAAGACTGGCACTCTACCATTTCAGCCACATCTCTAGCTTTTTGATGGTTAATTGGAGATAAGAGTCTCATGGATTTTCCTGCCTGGGGTGGCTTTGAACCTTACTCCTCCGATCTCAGCCTCCGGAGTAGCCAGGATTACAGGCCTGGCAGAAGAGGCTTTCAAGTCTAGTGCAGAGGTATACGTAAAAGGCACCATGCTAAATGCTTTCTAGATTCCAACTCCCTGTCAACATCAGTCTATGACATGATAGTAATTACTCTTCCCAGCAGTCAGAGAACATGGAGGCATAGAGAGGCTAAGCTTGGGGTCTGGGACCACAGCACCAGGTCCTGCCCCCGGGCCCTGCATGAAATGACCCCTGCCGGATGCCAAGCCCAGGCAGCAGGCATGGTAGGCCTGCCCTGAGTCTCCACGCCCCGCTAGCCAAACCCTCTGTGTTCACTCTAGGCTCTGCCACCGGCCACCAGCTGCTCACCAGCACCCAGAAGATGACCAGCCTGTGGGTCTTCACCTGCCTCAGTGCCTTTCTGGGAGCCAAATTGGTCCCAGTCACCTCTGCCCCGCCTGCGGTGCTCACCCTGGGCCCAGAGGTCATCAATGAGAGTAAGCCTGGGCCCCAGGTATCACCACCATCACGCATCCCTCAGAGAGACGGGGACTCACTGATGCTGGGGGACTTGGGTGGGACATGAGGAGACAACCTCAGAGCCCACAATGCCACAACCCCTTCTAAATTCCCTAAGCCCCCAAACTCTCCCTGGGGTCCGTGGCCTGCGACATTGCCCTACACACACACACACACACACACACACACACACACACACACCAGGCCATCCTCCCTGCCTTCCCCCTGGCCCCTAATTCCTGGATCTGCATCCAGTGCTGACTGAGCAACTGAAGGACCAGGGTGCCACGACCATCCTCCATAAGCTGCCCCTGCTGAGCGCCATGAGGCAGGAGCCCAGCGGAGGCATTCCCCTCCTGGGCAGCCTGGTCAGCTCCGTCCTGAAGCACATCATCTGGTGAGTAGCGTGGACTCGGGCCTCCGCCATGTGACCACCCCTCTGTCCAGGCCCAGTGCGTGTGATTGGTGGTCAGTCAGCACACACCAGTCACTGATCACCATGAAGAACAGATGGACTAAGCCCCTCCCCTGAGAAGCTCAGATGATGACCACAGACACCAGAGCCCTAGGAGGGAAGCCACAGAGGAAGGTGGCCTGGGCTCAGCCAAACAGAGAGGAAGAAAACGTACTCTAGGCAGAGAGGCCCACCTGGGAGAGGGAGGGTCTCAAGAGTCAGCCCAGGAGCTCAGTTCACCTCCATAAAAGCCAAGGAACCAACGTAGTTTGTCAGCTGGGGGTGGAGGGGAGGGACAGGGCAGGGCCACGCTCAAAGGGGGTCAATGGCCAGCAGGCCCCTAAGGAAGGGGACAGGAAGGACAGAATGAGAACAGGCTGAGCCTGGTGTCTGATTCTCATCTTCCCCAAATCCCACCCAGGCTGAGGGTGACCTCTGCGAGCATCCTCCAGCTGCAAGTGCAGCCCACTGTCAAAGACCAGGAACTGGTGGTCAGGATCCCCCTGGACATGGTGGCGGGATTCAACACGTAAGTCCTCCCAGTCAGGCACAGAGGGTCTGGCAGCGCACCCACTCACTCCCTTCCCTCCATGTAAGTATCTGGGGGTGGTGGTGGGGTTCCTAAGCAGAGAGATGAGCAAGTGTAAAGGCACTGGGGCAGGGGTACACTTGCCAAGCTTAAAGAATGACAAAAAAGTAGGGAGGAGATAGAGTGATAGGAGAGGAAGTCAGCAAGCTAAGGCCTTGCAGGCCGGGTGGGAGTTGGCCTTTACAAAGTCAGGTGTGAGTCTGAGTGGGAGGAGAGCAGGATGTGGATCAGCCTTTTCAAAGCCTCCTATTAGTTGCTGAGGGGAGCAATGGTGGAGGCAGGGAGGCCATCAAGCCTTTAAGGTTGAAGATGTTTAGCTTGGGAAAGATGATGGCCTAGATACGAGGGTTTGAGGGTTTGAAGAAAAGTGACTAGTCTAGATGTATTTTGGAAGCAGATAGGGATCACTGGAGTGTGTGTGTGTGTGTGTGTGTGAGAGAGAGAGAGAGAGAGACAGACAGACAGACAGACAGACGGACAGAGACAGAGAGAGACAGAGAGACAGACAAAGAGAGACAGAGAGAGAGAGGGAGAAGAGAATCAAGGATAGTTTTAAGGCTTGTGCCTGCACCTATCCAGAAAAACCAGCAAGCAAGGCCATGAGAACCCCAAGTTTGGAGACTTGGGGGAGGCAGTGGGGTCAAGTTCAGAAGCTGTCAGTGTATGGAAAGGAGTTAAATGGGGAGAGGGGCTGAGGGGAGGCAGGATGGAGTCTGTGAGATGGGGAGGAGCAGGAGGACCTGTGCCCCGCGGGTTGGCTCCGACCTGGGCGTGACGATGCCCTTGCCGCCGCCCGCAGGCCGCTGGTGAAGACCATCGTGGAGTTCCACATGGAGACCGAGGCCCAAGCCTTCATCGGGGTGCAGAGCAGCCCTGACGGCCCCCACCGCCTGGTCCTCAGAGACTGCCTCAGCAGTCAGAGCAGCCTGCGCATCAGCCTGCTGAACAAGTGAGTCCGGCCACGCCCTCCTCCGGCCTTTGCCCTCGCAGGTGCAAACGACCCTCAGGAGGTCCTGGGCAGGCAGGTGGCCAAGGTAAAAACAAAGACTCCAAAAGCAAATGGACTCTTTACCTGACTTCCGTAACTGTCACCCCTTTGTACATCACCTTCGTAATAACAGCAGATTTAAAATTTAAAAACCAAAGGCTTTAGAGCTCAGCAAACACAGTCTCTTCACCCAGCCCCTGCTCCCCAGAACCCCAACACTGTATCTATCCCTTGTTTACGGTCTAACAGCCTGTGTGACCTGGATAAGATCTTTCCACCTCCGCAAAGCCGGTGTGGGGTGATCTTCTCTGACCCTGCCTGTCTCCCCCATTCTCCTCTCCTACAGGCTGTCCTTCCTGGTCAACTCCTTAGCAGACAAGGTCATAAACCTCCTGGTACCAGCCCTGCCCCAGATGGTGAAAGAGGAGGTGAGTGGAATCCAGCCTCTGGCCTGTGGAGTATGCGCCCCCTGCTGGGTGGCAGTGAAACTACAAGCAGATGCTAAGGGATGGGATGGGATATTGGGGCTAATTCCGGCCACCTAGCCAAGAGCCATGGATTGCACCGTTGATTTCAAGGGGATGAAACTGCCAAAAGCCAGCAGGAAGGCCTGATAAATTCTCAACGATTGTCTCTGCAGGGGCTGAGAGGGAGGAAGGCCACCATGGTGCGGGCACACCAACAGATATAATAGTAAAATACAGCAAAATAATGTTAGCCATGAGTGTTCAAGGTTTACTAAATTCATCTATACTGTGAGCTCTTTCAAATGTAAACTTATCTATAAATCATACTATAAATTTAATTTCTAGTAACATCTAGGTTTAGCAGCCAGCTCAGAAATTCCTTTTAAAACGTTTGGTTTTGTTTTTAAACAATTTATCCCTACAAATGGGCTCAACAAACTAGCATCAACAAGCCACTGTCTTTCACCAATCTGGGTGTGGGTTCTAGGCCCGCCAACTCTCCAAGTCCTACTGCAGTTATTTTTTAAAGGGCAAGCTCTTTATAGTTTGTGTTCAGCGGGAGGATGGAGGCCACGCATTCCACCGTCATCATGGTCTGGTCATGGATCTCTGGACTGGGTTCGTGGTCACAGGAATATTTTGTTTGGCAGGAAGGGAACCGCAGGGCGCAGTGTAAGGGTGAAGCTGGCATCTGGCAGGAACTCGATTGGAAAATGCAGATGTTCTTTTCTGTGGAAAGCATTGGGTCAACCCTGAGACCCCTCAGAATACGTTGACCATTCTGTCTGGCGGATGGAAAGGGGCTGGTGGGACCTGGGTGTCTGGGGTGGGCAGGGGAGGGGCAGCTCCTGTGGGAGTCAGTTAGAGATAAAGAATGGAGAGTTGTGGGAGGGGGGAGTAGGTGGTCCCCCAGCAGTGCATGCTGGGAGTCCCTGATCCTCCAGCCTCCCTGGGTTCTGGGTTGGGACAGCAGGTAGGAGCAGGGACTGTTTCCTTACAGAAAAAGTTCCTTGGAAATGCATCATGGTGCCTAAGGAGCATCATGGTCCCCTGGAGATCCTTCCACTAAAGCCCAATGACCTCAACAATCTGGGCACTGGGCCCTGGGCCAGCAGACTGCCTTGGAGGAGAGAATGAGGCTTTTTCAGGGTCCCCCTGATAAAGCAAGGCAAATGTTCACTCTCTTCCTCCTCAGAGTGGGTGAGGCCACGGTTTCTCTGCCAGGTACTGCTAACGTGGTATGGGGTGTTTAACAGCACCCCTGCCCTCTCTCTACTAGGCTCCACCCCCACACACATTGTTATAACTAAAAATGTCTCCAAACATCTGCTGAGATGCAGCAGCAATACTGGGGAGAGGAAGTGCAAGGGACCAGGAGGCAGGAGGAATCCTGGGGCTAGACTCTCACCCAGGACACAAACAGCCAGTCCGGAGCCTGGGGGAGGGGTCAGGCTGCTTGCCTACTGTTCCAGCAGACTCATGGCATGAAGAGGTGGGGTCTCCGCTTCCTATATGGAAAACATGGGCTCTGTGAGCAAGACAAGGGGCATGATGGCCAGGGCAGCTGGCAGGCCAGGCACACCCTAGGCATGGGGCAAGGGACAAACTCTTGCATAAGGTCCCAGCGGCACTAGGAGCTGTGGTGCTGGCTGGGGGGAGGGGGGGTTAGGTGGAAAGTGAACATACTCAGCCCCCATGGAGGGACACCTGGCTGGCCCTGGGCAGAGGTGGCCAGGCACAGGTTGGTGTGAAGCTGGGGCTGACACATCACTCATGGAGCCCTGGGTTTGTGCATTGCAGCTGTGCCCTGTGATCCAGACTGCATTCGATGGCATGTATGCAGACTTCCTGAAGCTGGTGAAGGGTAAGTGCACTGCCCCACCCCCACCCCAGCACACACCCTTACCCCTTTTCCTTAACTGCAGTTAGGCCCTGCCTCCAACTGGAGGCTCCCACTCAAGCCCAAGCAACTAACTCTGCAGCAGGTGCATGAGCATGGGCTGATCCCTTCCCAGAACAGGACAGCCGCCATGACTGTGGCTTCATGCAAGGTTTTAGATGAGGCCAGCAGCTCTGTTGCTACATTGCTCCGTTAAGAAGGTCACCTCCTAGTCTCAGTTTCCTCAGTTGTAAAAGGGGGCTTATGCATTCCTAACCCAAAGGGTTGTTAAAGAGGAGTAAAAGTTTAGGGGAAAGTTCCAGACACATAGCAGGTATCCTGCCAGGCTGAGGAAAGTTTACTCATGAGGCAGGCTGGATGGATGGATGGATGGATGGATGGATGGATGGATGGATGGATGGATGGATGGATGGGTGGATGGGTGGATGGATGAATGGATGGATAGATGGGTGGATGGATGGATGGATGGATAGATGGGTGGATGACATGGTGGGCAATCTCTGTGCACTATGAGAGAAGAGAGGAAAGGACAGAGATGGGACCTGTGTCCAGGAAGGAAGTCACCAGAGACAGGAGGACACCAGCTTCTGCTCCTACCTGGTCAATCATCCATGCCTGGTGCCTTTAGCGTGGGAATGGACAGGGAAGGAGAAAATTCTACCATTTGCTGATTGAGGCACTGAAGAGGCCACTCAAAGGGCAGTCAGAGAGTGGAAGAGGAAGGTGGATGAACGATCACCAAGCCCCAGAGCGGGTGCAGAGGCCGAGGTCTTGGGCTGAGGCAATATGGCCTGTATCTCACTGACTCCTCTGTCCATGTGTTGTGGTCACTGTCCAGCCTCACATACACAAGGCAGCTGGGGCTCAGAACAGTGAAGTCCTCTGTCTGCACTCATAGAGGAAGTTCATGGTTGGGAAGGTGGGAAATCATTTCTTCCAGTTCAAGGGGCTGTGATTCCAATTTGGCCATTGCTAGCAAGAGTGCTCAGCCTGGGCCAGGACTGGCGATTACACCCGTGTTTAGCTAAGAAATCTGGGGCTGAGGGTGGAGCTCATTTGTCCGGCATACATAAGCATCTAACACAGAAAGAAAACAGAGAAGCAGGCTCCGGTGGCTCACACCTGTAATCTTAGCTACTCAGGAGGCTGAGATCTGAGAATCTCCATTCAAAGCCAGCCTGGGCAGGAATATCCGTGAGAATCTTATCTCCAACAAACCACTCAGAAAACTAGAAGAGGCCTTGTGGCTCAAGGGGTAGAGCATGTCCTTGAGCTGAAGAGCTGAGGGACAGTGCCCAGGCCCAGAGTTCAAGCCCCACAACCAACAAAAAAAAAAAAAAAGAAAGAAAGAAAATGAAAACAGAGAGAGAAAGAGAGGCAGGTGGAGGGAGGGAAAGAATTGCATTTGAAGGCAGGACGAGACCAGCCAATGTCACTGGGACTCTAACCAGTGCCAAGTTCTATTAGCTCTGTTCCCAGAGTCAGGGTCAGGGTTAAAGCAGCCCACCCTGCTCATCCATTGACAGGCAGATGGAGAGCCATCGCCACCTGGTGGCCAAGTGGGGAATTGCCAGGCCAACACAAGTGTGTGCACTAAGTAGGTGTTCAAGCCTATGCCTGCCTACTTGGGGCAGCAGGTGACAGTGAAGTGGGGGAGAGACAGTAACAAATGACAGTCCAGTTTTGACGTGGGATAGTTCAAATTTCACATTAAGACCTTGGACAGGTCCTTTCCCATGAACAGAGAGTCAGAGTGAAAGGCTTAGTGCCTGGTGCTTGGTACATTCACCACCAGACCAATCACCATCAGCACCAACCTCCCTGCCCCCCAATACCACACCCCCAGCACTAGCTGCCCACCTCATAGACATTTCTCTCCCCCCCCCCCCCCGCCCAACAGCACCCATTTTCCTCAGCCCTGGATTGCTGAGATTTGACCTACTGTCTCCTGCCATCACGGGCAGTAGCATCCAGCTCAACCTGCAGGTGAGTGTCCCAGAACCTCCAGACAAAGTGGAGGAATGATTGCTTTCCTCCACCCTCCTAGACCCAGACACCGTGCAGAAAACCATGCCCCCTTCCCGCAAAATCAGAGCATACATGGGCTGAGCATACCCCATGCATCTGGAGAGAGAAAAGCCAGCAGGTGCAACCTGAGATTCAAGTGGAGTTGTTCTGAATCCCAGGCTAAGCTTCCTGACAATTAATGCAAAAAGGGGGGCGGGGAAACAGGTTGTACCACTACACCAAAGTACCTGAGGCTGAATAGCATACAAACAACAGATGCTTACCAGTGCATAGAGTTTTCTTGCTGCCCCCCATGGTAGAAGATGGAAGAACAAGAACAGGCAAAAGCAGGACAACAGAGGCCTGAACTCTTTTGAGAGCCTGCTAAGCAAGCCCTCTGACGGCCGAGCCCTGCCTACAGGTGTTTTCTGCTGGTTATTTAGAGTCTAGTGAAATGCCCACCCATGCAGAACAGTGATCCTCTCAACCTCAGCTTCCTAAGTAGGATTATAGGTGTCAGCCACCTAAAACCCACTCCAGCAGTAATTCATTGCTCCTACTATAACAATCTTCATCGACAGCATCAGTGAATTGCCTCTTGAAGGTCCTGACTCTCAACTCATCACAGGAGCTCCCGGGGACACAGTCGCACCTCTGTGCTGCGGGTCCCTGCTAGGGAGCTGCTGGGCAAACTGTGGAGGTAATATTTCCCCAGCCACACCCTGCTCTGTCTTCTCAGGCTAAGTTGCTGGACTCAAAGGCCAAGGTGACCAAGTGGTTCAATAACTCTGATACCTCCCTGGCACTGCCCACCCAGCACAGAGCTCCTTTCAGCCTCATCATTAGGGAGGATGTGGTGAGCGAAGTAGTGGCTGCCATACTCTTTCCAGAAGAGCTGGTGGTCCTGCTGGACTTCGTGGTAAGCCTTACCAAGGGATGGAGGGTGGAGGCTGGAAAGATGGAGGATGGAGGGATGGAGGCTGCATCCAGGGGGAGTCCAGGGGGAAACCCAAGGTTGCCAGGCCTCTGGCAGAAACTTCCTGCTTTCCTCAATTGACACACCTGCCCCTTATTCCCCCAAAAGCCCTTGTACCTATATTGCACTGGCAAGCTGAAAACAGCCCTGTGACCTCCAGCTCTGGCCTGGTTCTGTCCTGCAGAACCTACCATTTCCTTATGAAAGAGCCCAGGGAGCCGAGGGCCTCTATCCTAGCTCCAGAGTGAGTGATCCAGGTGGGATGGTGAGTCTCTGCTCGCCACACTGACACCCCAGGCAGACATCACTAGCCGATCAGTCTCCTTCCTTCAAGCTGGAGGCCATGAGAGGGAAAGTCTGGCTGGAAGTTACTGGAGGTGGTAGCGCTTCAGGGGCTAGGTCCTTGAGGATTTGAGCTCTGGCTCAGGGACTGGGATGTGACCAGCGCAGCCACAGTCCTGACTGCAGTCCCTGCTAGATGTTCTCTGGGAACAGAGTAGCTGCAGACCCATCATCGACAGCAGAAGCCCACTGTGGGCCCCAGGCCACAAGACTGTCCTAGGAGCTGTTTCACCACCCATGACACAGATAGCCTGGACCCTAGAGTCCGTCAGTGCTTCTGGAGTCCTCGTGATGAGGCTAGGAGACGACCCTCCGTGTCCCGCCCAGCTGACCAGCTCTGGCTTCTTCCCGCCCTCAGCTTCCTGAACTGGCCCGTGAGCTGAAGATGAGCATTGAGACCTTCAACAAAACGGTGGGCAAGTGCCCAGCGCTGGGCGGGACATGGGCAGGACGTGGGGTGGGCCAGGGGTGTGTGGGGGTTGGTGTGGGTGGGGCAGGGCATGGGCAGGGTATGGTGTGTGGGCAGGGCTGTGTGGGCGGGGCATGTGGACAGGGCGGGACAGACAGGGCTGGGCATGGATGGCCAAGGCACACTGGACTGGGCACAAGCTGAGCTATGCACCTAGGGCTCTGGGGGGCGGGAGGGGGCAGAGCTGGCACAGGGATGATAGACCAGGTCCCTGGCCACTTGGGAATTTCAAGCAGAGGTATTCGAAGGGAACCATCACAAGCACAGTGTTTTATTACAAGTATGGTGACAGAGGACAGGAGCTGGGGGTGAGCAGGGCTTCCCTGGCAGCCTACCCTTGGTGCAGTGGCCAGAGAGGCACATCTGTGAAGGGGAGGGTACTCCAGACAGAAAGCGGGGAGCGGTGGGAGGCCACGGCTACTCTGTGTGTGTGTGTGTGTGTGTGTGTGTGTGTGATGTACACAAGGGAGGATCTTCAAAGAAGAAGCCAGGCTCAGGGGGCCACAGTGAGCATGCCCAGTCCCTTGTCTTTCTCCAGGCCGCAAGTTTGCTGGGCCCTACCCAGATCATGAAGATCGTTTTGAAGAACAGCCCCCAGGTCTTTCTGAGCCAGACTGGAGCCAAGATGGCCCAACTGGTCACGCTGGAAGTGTTTGCCAGCAACAAAGACGTCCGGCCCTTCTTCACCCTAGGCATCGTGAGTTCCATGGCCTATGACCTGGGAGCGACCTTGAGGCCTCCTGCGCAGGGGAGAGGGGAGGCCCAGAGAGTCTGGAGCTTTGGGGGCCCATCTCGGACCTGGTGACTTGATTGGTCTGGAGTAGGAGCCTGCACTACAGTATAAGTCAGTTCACTGCCACCAAGAGACCCCAAGGAGCAGGAGAACAACCCCCTCACGGCAGGACCATTCCATCCCAGAGAAGGGTGGCTGTGAACTGTTGGTCCCAACACAAAGTACCTCCAAGGGGACTAAGCAGGGTACCAAAGCATCCACTACAAAGGGTGAAAATTGACTGGAGATGAGGCAGGACACTCAGAGGGCACCAAGTAAGCCATCCAGGATTTACCACAGAGTCTGGGCAGGATCTGGTGGTGAGTAGGAGGCTCAGGTAGCTACTGCCTTACAGCTGGCTCTCTGTGTACAGCAGTGCAGGTTGCCCGCTGCACATTTCCACTGCATACCTTTCTCAGTCAGATGCAATGGAACCCCTTGGAGGGCCTCTTCCTTGGCCTCCTTCCATAAAGGCTAGGCTGTTTCTAGCCCTCAGGGAAAGGACTGTCAGGGTGGCCCCTCCATGGCCAGTGGGAGGCACTGTAATACAAGTTGTCCGCAGGATCTGGAGCCTGGTGCACACTGCCCAGAAGTCAGGTTGATGCATGGATTCATGGGGCACCTGGCTTTCGCTTTTGGACTTCCTGTAACACCCACCATGGCTTCTGTCCAGCAGAGGCCTGCCAGGCCTGCCCTCCTTCCTCCCAGACAGTAGGGCGATGACAGGACCCGCAGTTGTGCCATGAACACTGGCTGCACCGGCCCCTCAGCATGTCTTCTGTTTCAATCGAGTAGGAGTCGGATCCACTTACGAAAGGCTGAAAGTGAAGCCCAGAAAAGACAAAAGTGTCCCCAAGATCACAGAACTAGTAGATGAGGTCACACCAGGTGCCCCTGACCCCTGAATCTCTTTGCACGACCCTCACCCCACATCCAATGCCTTCTCTCCAAAGAAATGGAACCCAGCTTCTCGTTGCAGGAAGCCAGTTCAGAAGCTCAGTTTTATGCTGAAGATGACCGACTTATACTCAACTTTAATGACCTCAGGTAACATGTGAATCACTGTACAAATCTCCAAGCAAGAGAATGCTGGCCTGGGAGTATGGGTTTTGGTAAACACCTAGTAAGTGGACATCAGGTAAGGGTTGATCCAGGATGGTCAGAAGGCTGCCTTGCCTGGACTGTCCCACCAGTGAGGAATGCAAGAGACAGGGAAGGAGAGTCTCAGGGGAGGCCAACCCCAGCCACAGGAACGGCCTACTTACCACCATTGCTAGGGCTTTGGGCAGCCCATTCTAGATACTTCCAAGACAGCAGCAACCCCAGACACCAGACCCATAGATGCCAGCACAGAAGTGCTGTCTGTAGTTAAGATATAAATTACTTGTAAACCTAAAACTCAGACTGACTGTCCTGGGCTAATATTCCTACAAAAAAAAATTGATCTGTGCATCAAAGCTCCCCCCTTCCTACCCCCCCTTAGAAGGGGTCTGGCTCAGACAGATGTGATGGCTCATATATATAATCTCAGCTACACAGGAGCAGACACCAGGAGGATCAAAGTTGAAGGCTAGCCTGGTCAAAAAAAAAAAGTTAAGAGCCATCTCCATAAACAAACCAGGCACTGGTAGCACACAGCTGGAATCCCAACTACATGGGAGGCGTAGGTAGGAAGGTTGCAGTCCCAGGCTATTCCATGCAATAAGGCAGGACTCTACACGAAAAATAACTAAAGCAAAAAGTGTTGGGAACGGGCTTAAGAGGTAAAGTGTAAACCCCTGAGTGCAAACGCTAGTATTGCTCAAAGGGGCCAGGGACTTGACTCTCTAGCTCACCTGTCATTACTCCCAGGGAAGACTTGTCTGTTCTTTAAGCCACTATCCCAACTTGAAGATAAGCTCGGGGAGGCAAGGGCATGGGCTTGTGCTGTGCCTGGTATACAGTAGATGCTCAACAGTGGTCAGAAAAAGGACCGGACTCCAAGTGGCCATTCTCATGGTATCTTCTGTTACAGTTGCAATCGGATACACCTGATGATCTCTGATATCAATTTGTTCAATGTAAGTGTTAACAAACATGGGGAGGGGGGGTGCAGCTGGCATGGCCCCTTCGGCATAGAGCTACAGGCCAAGATCTGCTTCCATCCCACAAAGTCCAGCCTCCTATAAAAAGGCAAAGGCAGACCGGACACTAGTGGCTCATGCCTGTAATCCTAGCTACTCAGGAGGCTGAGATCTGAGGATCCAGGTTCAAAGTCAGCCCAGGCTGAAACGTCCCCATAAGACTCTTATCTCCTCCAATTAACCACCAAAAAACTGGAAATAGAGCTGTGACTCAAAGTGGTAAAGTAATAGCCTTGAGCAAAAGAGCTCAGGGGCAGCGCCCAGACCCTGAGCTCAAGCCCCAGGACCAGCATAATAATAATAATAATAAAATAATAATAATAATAAGGCAAAGGCTCCATTCACCATGCATTTGCTCATGTGAGGCTTCCTCTGTGAGCCTGAACAGCCAGCCTTGACCCCTGATCCTCAGTTTTCCCCAGCCCCCAGACTGAACTAGATATTGCCTCCAGCCCGAGTGCCATCTTCAGCCAGGTTTCCTTTGGTCTTTCTGGGGTTTGGTAAATGCATATAGGAAAACGAGATGGTTTCCAAAACCAGGACCCCTGGCTTCTACTGGGTGTGAGCAACTCAGGGGTGGCAGGCACAGGGCAGATCCCCTCTGGGCAGGCACACCAGAGGGCTGGAACAGAGGGCAGCCCCTTAGAGTGGGGTGACCTGCAGGGTACCCCCCCAGGGCACCTGAGTCCCTGCCTCTCCCCAGGTGTCTGGTCCCCAGGACCCCTGGTAGCTCTAGGCCAGGCCCATGATGGCTGGGTGGCCCTGGAACTCAGCTAGACAATGATCTTCTTCCACACAGACGGACATCCTGAAGAGTGTCCTCACCAAGGTCCTCAGCGCTACGCTGCTGTCCAATGAGAATGGTGGGTACCAGTGTCCCTCCCCCTGCGCTGCCTCTTCTGCCTGCAGCTCATCATTCTTTCCTTCCCACTTCCCCACCCAGGGAAGATCACCATCAAGAAGTGCCCTCCCCACGCAGCTCCACACTTATAGCATGTAGGGCAGCAGGGGCCCCAGCCAAGCAGGGCCAGGTGCAAACAGACCCTAGAAGAGCCTCAGGCAGACTGAGTTCCCAGCCCCAGCCCCTCTTGCCTGGCCTTGGACAAGCTGCCCTCTCCTCCTGAGCCTTAGTTTCTCCATCTGGGATGTGGAGAATTAAGTCCTTCAGACATGTGACAGGCTACATGTGCAAGGGGATGGGAAGGGGGGAATCTATGCCAGCAGCACTTTTTTTGTCAGTTGTCGGGCTTGAATTCAGGACCTGGGCACTGTCCCTGGGCTCTTTTGCTCAAGACTAGCACCCTACCACTTTGAGCCACAGTTCTACTTCCAGATTTTGAGTGGTTAATTGGAGATAAGAGTCTCATGGAGTCTCATGGAGATTTTTCTGCCCAGGCTGGTTTTAAACCACCATCCTCAGACCTCAGCCTCCTGAGTAGCTAGGATTATAGGCCTGAGCCACCAGTACCAGCTTTAGCAGCACTTTTTTTTTTTTTTTTTTGCAGGGCGGGGGAGGGAGGTCCGGTTGTGGGGCCTGAACTCTGGGCCTGGGCGCTGTCCCTCAGCTCTTCAGCTCAACACTAGCACTCTACCACTTGAGCCACAGCGCCACTGGGCCAGCCTGCCTGCTCCCGCCCAGCCTCCTCTCCCCAGGCCCTCCCATCTCTCACCATATTTGCTATTTCAGGAAAATTAAGACATGGGATCCCAATGCCAATAGTGAAGACCTTGGGATACGACATGGCCTCGTGGTCCGTGTTCCAGGTGAGTTGGGGGGAGTGGGCTTGAACAGTTAGCCTGCCTCGGCTGAGACGTGTGCCCTGAGTTCCAGTCCTTGAGCAAGTCCCAAGTCTCTCCCCTTCTCACCTGCAATGGAGGCTCCATCCCACGGTCCCCATCATTCATTGATGCTCTTCATTCAGTAAGGCTTTGCTGAAGGCTTGGCTCATGAGCCAAGCACGGCTCCAGGTGCTTGAGACCCCAGAAATGAACAACAGAAGACACTCTTTAGAGCCTAAATTCTAGCAGATATGTAAGCCCATGAATGTATAGCATGACAAGGAAAGTAAAGCAAGCTCAGAAGAGTGACTGATGGTGAAGAAGGGTGGTCAGGGAAGGCTTCTATGAAGAGCTGATATCTGGCTGACACCTGAGGTGGCAGGGGAATAAGCCCTGCGGGTAGCTAGAAGTGTCCAGAAAGGGGCATCAAGTGCAAAGGCCCTGAGGCATGGTTGTTTACTATTCCAAGATCTGAGCCTCCAAGGCATATGCAGATCTCAGGCTCCACTCCCACCTCTCCTACCTTGCCCGCCTGCCTGCCACCCTCTGTGACCAGGTCAGCCTGGGACCACAGAAGCACCTCTGCATCCTGATTTGCTCAGAACCCCACATTTCTGAGCCATTTCATCCTGGAGAAAGCCACAGATTGAAATCCACTTTCTGCATCTCTTTCCAGATCAATTTCCAAATCAATTTCTGAGTTTGCTCTATTTGTCTGATTTTAGCTAGCAGTACACTAATCTTCTCTCCCTCCCTCCCCCCCCCCCGCCTCTTTTTTCCTTTCTCTCTTTTTCTTTGCCAGTCCTAGGGCTTGAACTCAGGGCCTGGGTGCTATCCTTGAGCTTTTATGCTCAAGACTTGAGCCACAGCTCCACTTCCATCTCTTTGTGGTTAATTGGAGATTAAGTCTCCGGGACTTTCCTGCCCAGGCTGGCTTTGAGCCATGATCCTCGGACCTCAGCCTCCTGAGAAGCTAGGATTACAAGCATGAGCCACCAGACCCAACTTGATCTCCTTTCTGTAGCTTTATAATATCTAGTGTTTGGGAACTGGGGGTGATGAAGGACGGACTATAGCAGTAGCCAGTATGGGCAGGAGAAAAGCTGAGGCAGAATCTGGGTGATGAGAAGACAGGAATTCACTACACAGTTCTTTTCCTTTGCTGAATCTTTTTTTTTTTTTTTCCTTCTTATGTCAGTCCTGAAGCTTGAACTCAGGTCCTGGGCACTGAGCTTTTTTTTTTTTGGAGTCCGGTCATGGGACCTGAACTCTGGGCCTGGGCGTTGTCCCTCAGCTCTTCAGCTCAAGGCTAGCGCTCTACCACTTGAGCCACAGCGCCACTTCTGGCCTCAGGCATGCAAGGCAAGCGCTCTACCACTAAGCCACCTTCCCAGCCCGGCACTGAGCTTTTTTGTTCAAGGCTAATGCTCTACCACTTGAACCACAGCTTCATTTCCAGCTTTCTGGTGGTTAATAGGAGATAAGAGTCACCAATTTACCTGCCTAGACTGGCTTCAAACCACAATCCTCAGATCTCAACTTCCTGAGAAGATAGAATGGCAGGTGTGAGCCTTTGACACTCAGCAGCCTTTGCCAGATGTTGATAACACTCATAATAAAAATCCTGAGGAATCTAACAAATTCCTCCTATTGTACTTAGTTCCAAAAATGAAACCAGCCAGCCAGTGAGTCTGCTTACCTAAACATACATATATATATATACATATACATATATATATATATATATATATATATATGCAGAGAGAGAGAGAGATTTAGAAAAAGCTGACAATAGTAGTGCCATGAGATGAGCCTTAAGGACAATCAAAGTCATTAAGGCCCCTGAGAATGGCTACAACAAATTTAAATATTTGTAAGACATCAGTATTATAAACAGTGTTAAGAATTGAAATGAGCTGGACGCTGGTGCCTCACTCCTGTAATCCTAGATACTTTGGAGGCTGAGATCTGAGGATCGTGATTCAAAGCCAGCTGCAGGAAAGTCCATGAAACTCTTATCTCGAATAAACAACGAGAAAACTGGAAGTGGCGCTGTGGCTCAAGTGGTAGAGTGCTAGCCTTGTGCTGAAGAACTGAAGAACAGCGCCCAGGCTCAGAGTTCAAGCCCCACAACCAACAAAGATAAGAGAATTGAAACTTCAAAACAGTAATAAATCACATGTGACCTTTTCATTAAAAAAAGAAAAGAAATAAAAGAAAATCCCAGAACCTTGTTGAAATATCAGCCCCCTGCTCCCATGGGGGCAGCCAGGAAATCTGTATTTTTATTTATTTATTTATTTATTTTTGTCATGGTAGGGCTTGAACTCGGCCTGGGTACTGTCCCTGAGCTCCTCAGCTGAAGGCTAGCACTCTACCACTTGAGCTACAGATTACTTCTGGTTTTCTGGTAATTCATTGGAGATAAGAGTCTCACGGACTTACATGCCCAGGCTGGCTTTGAACTGTGATCCTCAGATCTCAGTCTCCTGAGTAGTTAGGATTACAAGCGTGAGCCACCAGTGCCCAGCTAGGAAATCTGTGTTTTATAAAACTTCTTTTCTAAAACTTCTTGGTGTGGACTGAGCTTGAGGACAGCAGGCTTTCTCGCCCGGTCCACTGCAGCAGATGCTTCTGTACAACAGACCAGGCGCCCTGTGTTCCACCCTCCACCCTGCCCCTTCTGAGATTTTTTTCCTGAGTGATCACCAGTGGCAGTGGTCACCTTGTAGAGGACAAATGAACATAAAACATGGCAGGACTCAGGGCTGGGAAGGTGGCTCAGTGGTAGAGCGCTTGCCTTGCATGCCTGAGGCCCTGGGTTTGATTCCTCAGCACCACATAAGCAAAAAGAAGAAAGCTGGAAGTGGTGCTGTGGCTCAAGTGGTAGAGCGCTAGCCTTGAGCTGAAGAGCTGAGGGACAGCGCCCAGGCCCAGAGTTCAGGCCCCACGACTGGACCCAAAAAAGAAAAAAAAACAAGGCAGGACTCTTCTTCTGTTCCAGGGCGTCCTTGTGCTCACCCCAGCCTTTTTCTAAGATCTTCTCTCACAGTGAAGACGGAACGGTGGCCACCCAGGGTCGTCTGGGTCCCAGCAGGGAGTGTGGGAGCCAGCTCGGCTGACCATCCCTCCATGTAGTCAATAAACAGTTGTCTTTGGTTCTGCCTTGTCTGAGTATGGCTTTGTCCCGCAAGGGAGTCACGCTGCCATTGCAGGCTTGGGGACTGGACTCAGAGTCCTCTGAATCTGTGGTGTTTGGGCACATCAGAGCCAACATGAGCTACCTCTGAGCTGTGTGTGGCTGGGCCAGGTCCCACCCTTGAAGCCTCCCTGGGCCTCAGGCATGAAGGCCACAGCATCAGGACCAGCTGTAGGCGGGGCGCAGGCTCTGAGGCGCACTGTTATCTCTGACCGGCTGGCCTGGGAAGCAGGTGAGCCAGGCCTTGCGTTCGAGGCTGTCACCTAAGGCCCATCCTTCAGCATGGCCTCCCCTCCGGGAGCCTCAGTTTCCTTCTCTGTAAAGTGGGCAGTCATAGCTCCACTGAGATGGCTGTCCTGATGAAATGCAGGTCCTCAGCCAGCGTCTGAGTGTCCTCTGTGGGGAGTGCCAGGTCACTTGTCACCTGGCTGTCTTGGGGGTGCTGGCCTTATCACCAAAGGCCCTTCCCACTCAGACAGTGCATTGTCTCCCTAGCCTCCCTGAGGCCAGGAGGTGGGGAGCAGACAATGGGCCCCTGTTCTCAGGACCCAGGCCCCCCCCCCCCATCACCCTCCAACAGAAGGGCCCCTGCAGGAAGAGAGGGGGTGGTCATTTCTGGAAAAGGCCCTACTCAACTTCAGAGCACAAGCAGGTGCGGGAACAGCTGGCAGCCGGCAGAGGAAGGAGGCAGAGAAGGAGCCTCTCCAATCCCCTAGAAGACAGGCCTGGCCAGCAGCCAGGGAGCGCCTGTTCCAAGTGCTTTTCCAGGCACTGCTGACCTGCTAAGCAGCCGCCACCGAGGCCCCGGCCTGTGCAACCCGCCTCCAGTCTCCCCTGGCGGTCTGACCACGGGGTTGGAATTCCCCCTCCCCACACATGGCGCCCAATTCTTTTTCCGCATCCTATGAACCCAGGATTTGAAGCCCACGGTCTCTATCCTGTCATGATCGTCTCTGCAGGCTGCCTGAGGTCTTCCGAGCATGCGGGATAGGGGTTCCCTGGGTCTGGGGGACAGGGCAGATCTCTGGTCCTGACACCTTGTGGTCTCAGTGGAGTCTCTGTTTCTGCTCGGAGGCCAGCAGCCCATCACCCCAGCCAAGCAGGGACATGGGGACCCTTCTCCAAATAGCCCTGGCCATGGCTCTCCAGGACCTCATTCCATGAGGTTCATTCCCTGAACCCCAGGGAACGGGGGCCGGGGGACAAGATGAATGACCTCAGGCAATACAATGATTCCCAGTGGCCCCACCAAGGCAGCCCCGTGGCCCTCCAAGCCCACCTCCCCTTCTTCCCCAGTGTCTCCCAGGATAGGCCCCAAGATCATCCACACTCAAGGCCTTGTCTCACAGTCTGCCACAGGCCACAACACCCTTTTGCTCTGCGCAGGTAATGCTTGCAGGTCCTTCCAGACGGACAGACAGACCCTCCTCATCCCATTTCCCCAAGGTTCTGCTCTCACTCCCACTCAACAGAGAAACTGAGGCTCAGCAACTCACACCACTGCCAAGCATCCCCAGGCAGTATCCATCTGTCACCCCCAACACACACACACACACACACACACACACACACACACACACACAAAGAGAGGAATTCTCTTCCACACTGGCCTACTTCTGATGGGGCTTCTTTCTGGACAAGGGGAGAAAGCCCTCACTTCTCTTCTTAGGCGCAGCAGCAACAGCACAGAGAATCATCATTGGTGTCTCATCCTGTATGCCATCCTCCCTCCCAGAAATCGTGATGGCCTTGGTCTCCAGAAGAGACCTGGGATATGATGGGCACCCAGGCCTCACCTATCTGGTCCTGAGCCAGCCTCCAGTCCATCCAGAATGGGACAATTGAGGAGGATTGACCATGCCCAGCCTAGGGCTCTAGGCTCCTTGTGTGATTATCATTCCCACTGTACAGATCAACAAACTGACACTCATCAGCAGTTGGTGTCTCAGGAAATGTGTGCCCTTGTTACTCAGTGAGGTAGCAGAATGCTCCACACAGCTCCAGCCAAACCTTTCCCTCTCTTCATTTAGAGGCCAAAATTCAGAAGGGAAGGGAGGCTTTACACTCTCCCTCATATCCTGTTTGCTGCCCAGGGATTCAGGTGGCTACTCCAACCCAGAGCCTTTGTGCCACACAGAGAAATACGACATGGTTAAGACACAGCCAGCAGAAGTCAGATGAACCCACAACCTTTAACCTATAGTCCAACCCAAGACATCCAGGCTTTCATGACTCTGAGATAGTAAACTGCCTCACCAGCTAGTCATGGTAGTTTACACCTGTAATCCCAGCCAACAAACAAACACAGGGCATGGAAAGAGTGGTCAGTCCCTCTCCTCTGCCTTGCTCTTCTCCACCTCAATCCCTTCACCCTTACTCTTTGAGGTCCCACAACTGCCACTCCAGTATTACCAGCCTCCTCTTCCACCCAGAGGCCCCAGGCAATATAGCTATGGTGTACAAAGGAGAAAGGACCTGCCCTTAAAGCCACAGGCCCAGCCTACTTCCTCCTTGGGGTCTTGGCCAGGGACCCAGAGCCAGTGCCCCCAGGCCTCAACACTGGGTCCTGCCTGTTCTGGCACAATGTCCCTGGCCATCCAGTGCCAGGAGACCCCGCCTCTTTCCTCTGAAGACTCCCGTGGTTAGCAGACCCTGGCAAGGGGGTGGACTTCCTGCCCCCGTGGCCACCCTGTACTAAAGAACTCTTGGTATAAAAGTTGTCCTTCTGGGCCACTGAGACAGAGGCCTGCAGAAGTTTTGGACAGCCCTGCTCAGGAAGAGGTAAGGATGAGGAGGCCCATTTGGGCATTTCTCAGCTACTTTTTGAGCAGCCACAATGATATGTGGGTCTGCTTGCCTAGATTCTTAGCATCAGCCATCCTAGGTTCAAATCCCAGGGCTGCCACTTACTATATCACTTACTATTGCACTTTGCCTGTCTGAGCTCAGTTTCCTCATCTGCCAAGTGGGGCTCAGACGCCATGGAACCCACAGCAGTGAGGACTTAATGATGTGGCCATCGGGTGTGTGACATGTAATAGGGACTTTGGAACTACAGAAGTCAGGGGAATGTGCGCCCCTCAAGGATAGAAATGGGGAAGGCTTCAAACTAGGGTTGAATTGCCTAGGGCATAGGCCCAGAGTTCAGGCCTCAGGACTGGCATAATCCTACCAGACAAGCAGCAAAGGTCAAAAGCTATGTACATATGACCATAAAGATGATGCGAGGTGAAATGAACCTTAAGATAGGGACACAGAGGTTTGTTCTTTGTGGCTGTTTGTTTTAAATGTACTATGTGATTTTTTGTTTCTTTTGTATGTTCTTCCCCCATGGTATAACCCCTGCTGTCACTGTATTTGATTCCAGTGCCCTGCATCTGGTATATACATTTTTCTAATTTGGGGAGGGGAAGGGAAATAACAAAATGCTGAAATAAGGATACAGGTTGACCCATTATAATAATGAGATGTACAAGACACGATGTTGAAAATGAACTTTACAACTGGGGGGGGCGGGGCAGGGACGGAGGGGTTGGGGAGGTGGGGAGGGAAGGGATGGTAGGGGAAAAACAAAGGAGAGGGTAACAATGCTCCATAGGAAATGTACTCGTTACCTTACTCATGTAACTGTAACCCCTCTGTACAGTATCTTTACAATTAAAAAATTAAAAAAAGAATTGCCTAGGGCAGACACAGAGAGGGACCTGACTTGGGTCAGGATTGTTTTGTTTTTTTTTTTTTTCAAAAAATAATAATAATAGGGGCTGGGAATGTGGCTTAATGGTAGAGTGCTTGAGTAGCATGCATAAAGCCCTGGGTTCTATTCATCAGTACTACATAAACAGAAAAGGCCGGAAGTGGCACTGTGGCTCAAGTGGTAGAATGCTAGCTTTAAGTACAGAGAAGTTCAGAGACAGGGCCCAGGCCCTGAGTTAGAGCCCCAGGACTGGCCAAAATAAATAATTAGTAATAATAATAATGATGATAGGGCAGAATCCAACCTAGGCTAGGAGTAGGACTAGAGGTGGAATGCAAGAGCAGTCCAGAAATTAGAAATTACACAGTCCCAGGGCTGGGAAGGTGGCTCAGTGGTAGAGCGCTTGCCTTGCATGCATGAGGCCCTGGCTTCGATTCCTTAGCACCACATAAGCAAAAAAAAAAAAAAAAAAGCCGGAAGTGGCGCTGTGGCTCAAGTGGTAGAGCATTAGCCTTGAGCTGAAGAGCTGAGGAACAGCGCCCAGGCCCAGAGTTCAGGCCCCACGACCGGATTTTAAAAAAAAGAAATTTCACAGTCCCAAATTTGCATATGCAAAAGCAAATGAAGAAACAAAGTTGTCTTTTATTTCCTAATTTAATCACTGTTGGAGTCCCTTGTTTTTTGAATGGGCTGGAGGTGGCACCCTGGACCCCGTGCAAGCTAAGCAAGCACTGTCCCATCAAGGTGGCTCCCCAGCCCTTGATCCTTATTGGGTGGACCCATACGCCACCAGGTCCTGGAATTGGGACATTCCTTCCTCACTCTACAGCAGGCCCAGAGCCCTGCTGCAGCCCGTAGGGGGCCAACTGTGCCTTTTCAGCCATCAGGCAGGGTTGAGGGTCTGCTGGTAGGAGCCTGTACTGACCGGGCTGGTTGAAATACTTCCCTGCTACTCGGGAAAGACCCCTGCTTTGGGGGGAGAAGGGGAGTGGCCTGCCACCCCAGCTACCATGCATGCCCTTTTGACATCCCCCCCACCCCAAGGATAGCCACGTGGGCTTGCTTAGTAATGAGTCCTTTGCATGCCACACCCTGCGATGGTCCCTGCCCCACAGAGGGGAAAAGCCACACCGGAAGTGGCAGAGCCCAGAGGATGGGGAGGGAGGGAGTTTCCAGCCAGCCCAGAAAGACACAAGCACCCACACGTGTGGTACAGAGACAGGGAAGCTGAGATAGGGCACCGGGCAGGGCTGAACAGAGAACATGGCTATCCAAGCTCTTACCTCTGTGTCCCAGATCCTGAGTCCTAACCAAAAGGATGCTGCTGTTGTGGGGGCCGCTGCTATGCTGGGCGCTGCTGCCCCAAGCCCAGGGGGAAGCCCACAGTATCCTCT